GGTGTAGATGGTTACAGTGATGATGGTGGTGTGTGGTGTAGATGGTTACAGTGATGATGGTGGTGTGTGGTGTAGATGTGATGATGGTGGTGTGTGGTGTAGATAGTTACAGTGATGATGGTGGTGTGTGGTGTAGATAGTTAGAGTGATGATGGTGCTGTCTCTCATCCCCTGCGAAAGGGAGATGGAACTTTCACCGATGACAACAAAGAAATGAGCGAGCTACTGAGGAAACAGTTCGACTGTTTTCAGCGAGCCATTAAACGCACTAAAGATTGATAACCCAAATGAATTTTTCATGGATATGATACCAAAATCAAATCATATATCAGACGTCACCCTATCCCCACTGGATTTTGAAGAAGCCATAAACAGTATGCCTATGCACTCTGCACCAGGCCCGGATTCTTGGAACTCCATATTCATCAAGAACTATAAAAAACCACTATCGCAGGCCCTCCACATTCTGTGGAGACAAAGCCTAGATACTCGCGTTATTCCTGATATACTAAAAACAGCAGAGATAGCACCACTTCATAAAGGAGGACAACATGGTTTCTGAACAGGGCGCTCTTGTCTGTCACCCGCACCACTAAAGCTTTTACTCCTTCTACGGTTCTAAAACGCCTTTTCCTTGAGCACTTTTCTTCTCACTCCTGCTCCGTTTCTGTCTTCACCGATGGGTCAAAGTCTGCGGACGGTGTTGGCTACTCTGTTTTTTCCTGATCGCACTTATATGTGTCGCTTACCTCCGGACACTAGCATCTTCACAGCGGAACTTTATGCTATTCTCTGTGCTCTTCGTCTCCTGCTTTCTCGTTGTCAGTCTTCCTTTGTAGTTGTTGTTGACTCTCGTAGTGCCCTCATGGCTCTCGGGTCCTTTAATCCGGTTCATCCAGCAGTTGTCGAGATCCAGCATTGGCTGTTTCTTGTTCACAGCAAATTTAAGTCAGTTGAGTTTTGTTGGGTTCCCAGCCATATTGGTGTGTCTTTAAATGAGCGTGCGGATGCAGCCGCCAAGGAAGCTGTCCGCTCTTGTCCCATCTCCCGTAAAGGCATTCCATATTCCGACTTTTACCCGATTATCCATTCCTCCGTCCTTACCCGTTGGCAGGCTTCTTGGTCGTCTGTTACTGGTAACAAACTGCGTACTCTTAAGAGTAGTGTGTCCTTGTGGCCGTCTTCCTGCCACCGTAACCAGCGTTGGGAAACGGCTCTGGCAAGGTTGCGTATTGGCCATACATACTTAACTCATGGTCACTTATTGGAGCGCCGCCCTGCTCCTTATTGTCCAAATTGCATTGTCCCTCTTACGGTCGTGCATGTCCTTGTTGAATGTCCTGACTTCCAGGACGAGCGTGTGTCTTTATTTTCCGGCCGTCTCCCGCGGTCACCTGTCCCTCGATAATATTCTTGGTGACTCAGATACTTTTAATATCATTCGCCTAATGCGTTTCTGTTCTCGCATTGGCATCCTTGGTGATATTTAGCGCCCTCTGATTATCCCGCACATTTGATGGTGCTACATAACCTTCCCGGTTTGGTGCCTTCTTTTGATAATTACTTACTTGCCTGTCACAGTTGCTGGATCACTATGATATGGCATTAGATGCTATGGAAGACAAACAAAACGCTGATGTAATTTACACAAATTTCGCAAAAGCTTTTGATAAATGTGACCATGGTGTTATTGTACATAAAATGCGTTCAAAAGAAATTACCGGAAAAATAGGCAGATGGATCTACAATTTCCTGACCAATAGAACCCAATGTGTAATAGTCAACAAAATAAAATCCGGTCCATCAACCGTGAAGAGCTCAGTCCCCCAGGGTACTGTGCTTACTCCAGTACTTTTTCTCATCCACATATCGGACATAGACAAGAACACAGCCTATAGCACTGTATCATCCTTTGCAGATGACACTAGGATCTTCATGAGAGTAGGCAACATAGAGGACACGGCGAACCTCCAGTCAGATGTAGATCAGGTCTTTCTATGGGCTACAGAAAATAATATGGTGTTTAACGAAGATAAGTTCCAGCTCATGCGCTATGGAAAAAATGAAAATATAAAACCGGAAACCACGTACAAAACTCAGGCAAATCATAACATAGAACGAAAAGGCAATGTAAAGGATCTGGGTGTACTCATGTCGGAAGACCTTACCTTTAAAGAACACAATAAAGTAGCCGTCACAACTGCAAGAAAAATGACAGGTTGGATAACAAGAACTTTTCACACTAGAGATGCTATACCGATGATGATACTTTTCAAAACGCTTGTGCTCTCTAGAGTGGAGTACTGCTGCACAATGACAGCCCCTTTCAAAGCTGGAGAAATTGCTGATCTGGAGAGCGTGCAGAGATCCTTTACTGCTAGAATCCACTCAGTAAAACATCTGAACTATTGGGACCGACTAAAATGCCTAAATCTGTATTCTCTTGAGCGCAGGCGGGAGATACATAACAATTTTCACATGGAAAATATTAGAGGGGCTGGTCCCAAACCTGCACACAGAAATAACATTACATGAGACCAGGAGGCATGGCAGGATGTGCAGAATACCCCCGTTGAAAAGCAGAGGTGCAACAGGTACTCTGAGAGAGAATTCTATCAACATCAAATCAAATGTTTATTCAGGTAAAGTACATACATGCAAGATGAGATTCAAACATTGATGGATTTATAAATAGAGCTAGTACATAAAAAGTCTAAAGTCACTATTCCGCAAAGCGTTTCGGGCAGGAAAAACACTTGGACTAAAACTAAATACTAATTGAGATGAAAGTATAAATTGTGTTGGGGGGAAAAGGGGAGAACATGGCAGAAAATAGCTAATATACAATTTGGTCGACAAACAGCATTGTTTAAAATAGTAAGACATGGGTTGACATTTAGGGGTGAGGTAGGTTACAGGGAGTTAATTAGGTAGTACTTAGTTTTACTCTTAAACTGGTTGAGAGAGGTACAGTCTTTGGCATGATTGGGAAGGTCATTCCACATTCTGGGTCCCTTGATTTGTAGAGCATTTCTAGTTTGATTAAGTCGTACTCTTGGAATAACAAAAAGGTATTTGCTTCTGGTGTGGTGTTCATGGGATCTGTTACAACCTTCTAGGAAGCTTTTAAGGTCAGGACTGATATTACAGTTCAGCGTTTTATAAATATAAAATACACATGAGAGAATGTGCAGTGACTTAATGTCTAACATATTCAGAGATTTGAGTAGGGGTACCGAGTGATGTCTGGGGCCAGAGTTGGATATTGTTCTAATAGCAGCTTTGTGTTGAGTAATTAGAGGACGTAAATGATTTTAGATAGTAGAACCCCAAGCACAAATACCATAGTTGAGATAAGGATAGATGAGAGAATAATAGAGTGTCACCAGGGCAGGGCGGGGTACATAATATCTGATCTTAGAAAGAATGCCAACAGTTTTCGAAACTTTTTTTGATATATTTAGAATATGTCCCTGGAAATTCAGCTTTCGGTCAATGAGAACGCCAAGGAATTTGCCATCTACTTTGTTACAAATTTGGGTATTGTTAATCCTGTGATTTATTTGATTTGAGGATTTATTGCCAAACAAAATATAGAAAGTTTTGTCAATATTGAGAGTGAGTTTCTTGGCAGTTAGCTAGTGATGGACTTTATTTAGCTCAGTATTCACTGTGACATTTAGAGCAAGGGGGTCAGGACTGGAGTAAATGAAGGTCGTATCGTCAGCAAATATAATTGGTTTGAGATGTTGGGAGGCATTTGGAAGGTCATTAATGTAGATGAGAAAGAGGAGAGGGCCAAGTATGCTGCCCTGAGGAACACCAATGTTGATGGGTTGATGGGAGAAATCCCATCAGAAATCCCATCATCGGAGAAAACAGTCTCCGTGGTGTAGTGGTAAGACACTCGCCTGGCGTTCCGCGAGCGCTATGTCATGGGTTCGTATCCTGGCCGGGGAGGATTTACTGGGCGCAATTCCTTAACTGTAGCCTCTGTTTAACGCAACAGTAAAATGTGTACTTGGATGAAAAAAACGATTCTTCGCGGCAGGGGATCGTATTCCAGGGACCATAGGATTAAGGACTTGCCCGAAACGCTACGCGTACTAGTGGCTGTACTAGAATGTAACAACTCTTGTATATATCTCAAAAAAAAAAAAAAAAAAAAAAAAAAATTATTCACAGAAACATACTGGAGCCTGTCAGTAAGGTAAGACTTAAGGTACTGCAGGGAGTGACCTCTGACTCCATAATGATGTAATTTAAGAAGGTTTTGCTGGTTGACAGTGTCAAAAGCCTTACGCAGGTCCACAAATAACCCAACAGGGAACTCATTTTTATCAAGAGCTGCATGTATCAAGTTAATCATACAAATAAGTGCATCGTTAGTGCTTTTTTTGGGGTCTGAAGCCATATTGACAAGAGCTAAGTATATTGTGTTTGGCTAGATAAATGTAACATTAGTTTACTAAATACATTAGTAAACTGGGGATATTTGGCCAAGACTAATTCTGGCAGCAGATCATTTTGAATAAAATATTTACTGAACCCTAAAATTCATTTAGCTAAGAACAAGTCAGTAATTACAAGAATGTAAGAACTTTTGTATATATAAATAATTATGAGGAGGTATCTAGGTATTTGTATATCATATTAATTATGAGAATTATGAGGATTAATAATTATAATTATGAGGACTTGCCCGAAACGCTGCGCGTGCTAGTGGCTTTACAAGACTGTAATTACCATATTATGTATCCTCACATTCCCAATGTACATTCTTGTATATGCATAAATAAAATAAAATAAAATAAAAGGAGAAAGCAGCAAGGCGCGCACCATGTTCCAAATTTGAAGGCTGTGCATCTGATATATATTTAATATTTATCTGTTTTATGTTTATTTTTTAAACATATTAAATTATATACCATTATAATACACAGAGAAAAACTCGCGGATTTCTGAGAAATAAATAATAGGTTATGTTATGTCAAATCAATATTAGCAGATGCGGCAGAGAGTTAGTAAACAAGGTGGCGGCGGGAGGCGGACGAGACGGTGTTCACAGCTTGGATTATCTCCACCATCCTCACTCGTGGCGGACTCCTGCCCTCTGCTGCCCCTCGGTGAGTGTCTCCATAACCCCCGACTGGTCGCCAACACGCCCGCCACACCAGACTTGAATGGAAAAATTTGGTCGTGTTGAGCAGCTTGGGTTTGCGTCGTCGTAATTGTTGGTGGCGGCGGGCAAGAGGCGGCACGACTTAAATGGTCGCCGCACGACCGACGCGTTGTGGTGGCCCCTGTGGTGGCCCCTGTGGTGGCCCCTGTGGTGGAGTGCAGGGGAGGTGAGGGCCCGGCGCCACACCTGCCGTAGCGGGCCCTGCCATGGCGGCGCCACACACTACCCCTACTCCATGATCCTGCCGGGGGTTAGACGCTGATACCTGCTTGATGGGGTTGTGGGAGTTGTTCTACTCCCCTTGTCCGGCCCGAGGCCAGGCTTGACTTGTGAGAGTTTGGTCCACCAGGCTGTTGCTTGGAGCGGCCCGCAGGCCAGGCTTGACTTGTGAGAGTTTGGTCCACCAGGCTGTTGCTTGGAGCGGCTCGCAGGCCAGGCTTGACTTGTGAGAGTTTGGTCCACCAGGCTGTTGCTTGGAGCGGCCCGCAGGCCAGGCTTGACTTGTGAGAGTTTGGTCCACCAGGCTGTTGCTGGGAGCGGCCCGCAGGCCAGGCTTGACTTGTGAGAGTTTGGTCCACCAGCTGTTGCTTGGAGCGGCCCGCAGGCCAGGCTTGACTTGTGAGAGTTTGGTCCACCAGGCTGTTGCTTGGAGCGGCTCGCAGGCCAGGCTTGACTTGTGAGAGTTTGGTCCACCAGGCTGTTGCTTGGAGCGGCCCGCAGGCCAGGCTTGACTTGTGAGAGTTTGGTCCACCAGGCTGTTGCTGGGAGCGGCCCGCAGGCCAGGCTTGACTTGTGAGAGTTTGGTCCACCAGACTGTTGCTTGGAGCGGCCCGCAGGCCAGGCTTGACTTGTGAGAGTTTGGTCCACCAGGCTGTTGCTGGGAGCGGCCCGCAGGCCAGGCTTGACTTGTGAGAGTTTGGTCCACCAGGCTGTTGCTTGGAGCGGCCCGCAGGCCAGGCTTGACTTGTGAGAGTTTGGTCCACCAGGCTGTTGCTTGGAGCGGCCCGCAGGCCAGGCTTGACTTGTGAGAGTTTGGTCCACCAGGCTGTTGCTGGGAGCGGCCCGCAGGCCAGGCTTGACTTGTGAGAGTTTGGTCCACCAGGCTGTTGCTGGGAGCGGCCCGCAGGCCAGGCTTGACTTGTGAGAGTTTGGTCCACCAGGCTGTTGCTTGGAGCGGCCCGCAGGCCAGGCTTGACTTGTGAGAGTTTGGTCCACCAGGCTGTTGCTTGGAGCGGCCCGCAGGCCAGGCTTGACTTGTGAGAGTTTGGTCCACCAGGCTGTTGCTTGGAGCGGCCCGCAGGCCAGGCTTGACTTGTGAGAGTTTGGTCCACCAGGCTGTTGCTTGGAGCGGCCCGCAGGCCAGGCTTGACTTGTGAGAGTTTGGTCCACCAGGCTGTTGCTGGGAGCGGCCCGCAGGCCAGGCTTGACTTGTGAGAGTTTGGTCCACCAGGCTGTTGCTGGGAGCGGCCCGCAGGCCAGGCTTGACTTGTGAGAGTTTGGTCCACTAGGCTGTTGCTGGGAGCGGCCCGCAGGCCCACATACCCACCACAGCCCGGTTGGTCCGGCACTCCTTGGAGGAAACTATCTAGTTCCCTCTTGAAGATATCCGCGGTTGTTCCGGCAATATTTCTTATGCTCGCTGGGAGGACGTTGAACAACCGCGGACCTCTGATGTTTATACAGTGTTCTCTGATTGTGCCTATGGCACCTCTGCTCTTCACTGGACCTCTGATGTTTATACAGTGTTCTCTGATTGTGCCTATGGCACCTCTGCTCTTCACTGGACCTCTGATGTTTATACAGTGTTCTCTGATTGTGCCTATGGCACCTCTGCTCTTCACTGGACCTCTGATGTTTATACAGTGTTCTCTGATTGTGCCTATGGCACCTCTGCTCTTCACTGGACCTCTGATGTTTATACAGTGTTCTCTGATTGTGCCTATGGCACCTCTGCTCTTCACTGGACCTCTGATGTTTATACAGTGTTCTCTGATTGTGCCTATGGCACCTCTGCTCTTCACTGGACCTCTGATGTTTATACAGTGTTCTCTGATTGTGCCTATGGCACCTCTGCTCTTCACTGGACCTCTGATGTTTATACAGTGTTCTCTGATTGTGTCTATGGCACCTCTGCTCTTCACTGGTTCTATTCTGCATTTTCTTCCATATTATTCACTCCAGTATGTTGTTATTTTACTATGTAGATTAGGGATCTGGCCCTCCAGTATCTTCCACGTGTATATTATTTGATATCTCTCGTCTCCTTTCTAGTGAGTACCTTACCTTGAGGTTGCCTTGAGGTGCTTCCGGGGCTTAGCGTCCCCGCGGCCCGGTCGTCCACCAGGCCTCCTGGTTGCTGGACTGATCAACCAGGCTGTTGGACGCGGCTGCTCGCAGCCTGACGTATGAATCAATATTCGAGGTTGAGCAGCAGCAGCATAACACGTGCCCAGTGTGGGTATGGTCACTTCAGACACCAGATGGTTCAACGAGGCTCGCTTTCGGTTTGTTAAAACCGTATATATTACACTAGGCTGTTTTGGGCTCGGTTAGGTTTGGGTTGATGTTGGTTAGGTTAAGTAGGTTTCAAAACCCGCTGGTGAATCGTCTTTGTGTACGATGTGACTTGTATCCGCCCAATGTACCCATACCCACGCACCATGACCCTGGACCCATACCTGGGCACCATGCCCTGAACCATACACATTGATTGATTGGGCACCAATCCTTAACTGTAGTCCCTGTTCACCCAGCAGTGAATGGGTACCTGATTATTAAATAGTTTGGCGAGTCGTATTCCGAGGAAAATTAGAATGTCTGAAACGCAGTGTGTGTTAGTGGTTGTATGAGAATGTAAGAACTCTTGTATATATATATAAATATAAAAATAAGATAACAAATAGTTTAACAACTGGGTACCCGTTCACTGCTGGGTGAACTGAGGCTACAGCTAAGGACTGGTGCTTAGTCAATCCTCTTAGGCCAGGACACGAACCCAGGCCAAATTGCTCGCGAAGTGCGAGGCGAGTGTGTTGCCAGTGCATCTTGGGGACTGCAATCACAATGGCACGTCTGTAATTATTTGGCAAGGCATGGAAATTGTTGTTGTCAGTTGATCTAAGGGCAGTGACTAAAACCAGTTGGACTTGATACACTTGAGGGCAAGGGTTGGGTGTTGGGTTTATAACATTAGCTTATAGTTGTTGCTCTTGAAGTTAGGCAATTTCTGTCATTGTCCTGGTGGTACATTTTTAGTTGATTGGATATATTTAGCAATATACTACATATAAAATATCAACCAGCTTTGGCTCTTTGATGTTTTAGATGAAGTGAGGGATCTCCAAATGTATGCTAGATATATATATATCTGGGCTTGGTGCGGAGTGTTTGGGAATGCTGTCTATGGCTACTTCCAAGTCCAATGGGTTTAAGGTGACATCTGATATATGGTTCAATGTTGGTGGCACATTCATAAAGAATTACTTTGAATCATTGATCATCAGTGTGTTCAAGGAGTTCCCTGAACACACAATTTTACTGTTACCTTGTGGTTACCTTTCCCGCCAGCCGCACTAGACATTTTTTGTTTTATTATTGTTGTATTCTCCTGGGCAGCGTTCAGCTGCGTCACACGATATTTGGGACCATTCGAAACCGTTGAGAGGAAAACAGAAGTTGCAAAGGGAAGGATAAAGTTGAAAAGTTTATAATTCTCCTTGATTTTGAGGATCATTGTCCCTGCGGCCCGGTCTCTGACCAGGCCTTCTGGTTACTGGACTGGTCAACCAGGATGTTGGACGTGGCTGCTTGCAGCCTGATGAATGTATCACAGCCTGGTTGATTCTGTGGAATTGTTTATCAAGTTCTCTCTTGGACTCTTTGAGGGGGGTCGGCCAGTTATGTCCCTTATGTGTGGCGGAAGCGTGTTGAACAGTCTCGGGCCTCTGATGTTGATAGTTCTCTCTCGGAGTACCTATAGCACCTCTTTACAACGTGGGTATTCTGCACATCCTGCCATGCCTCCTGGTCTCATGTTGTGTTATTTGTGTGGGCAGGTTTGGGACCAGCTGGCATTCAAAACTGACCTTGTCGAGCTCATATACTACAGTAATTTTAGGGTTAGACCAGGCTACCTTGAGGTTACCTTGAGGTGCTTCCGGGGCTTAGCGTCCCCGCGGCCCAGTCGTCGACCAGGCCTCCTGGTTGCCGGACTGATCAACCAGGCTGTTGGACGCGGCTGCTCGCAGCCTGACGTATGGGTCACAGCCTGGTTGATCAGGTATCAAATGTCAAGATGCAGGCTAGGTAATAAACAAAATTTAATTCCTTCGTTGATCAAGTAAACTATAATTCCACCAAGGTAAGTTTAATATAATATTGTTATTAAAATATATACTGTATATTATATGAAGGTTCTTGCTCTAACCACATGAATTAATGTTGTTGGTGTAGTAGTACTGTATATGGAAATGTTAGTTGTTACAGAAACCCATTTTTTTTTTTTTACATTCCTCAAAAGAAATTTTACTAATTTATATATTTAGTTGATTCGAATTGAGGTCATTCCAATAAGATTCAGATTAGCAAACATTTACAATACAGTAATAAAATTAATTTCTGACAGAGAACAAAAATTGGATTATAATTTTGTGTAATAGTAATTTTTCATTTTTAATGACATTTAATTCTACTCTTACTAACATGTGCACATCTCTTGTAACAGGTCACATTTACTGTGCTAGCATTATTGAACTGATCAAAGCATTCTGGAGATAAAGCAGTTGCCCCCTAAATGTAAGCTTCTTTATATGATTTTTTTAATTGTACTTGATATTAAGTAAATTAAATTAGGGTTAGAATTTGTAAATTATAATATGAAACGCTGATTCATGTACCATAATTTTAATATTAGTTTAGAAAATTGCATGGTAATGATAATACTTTTAATCATGTTGACCATTTTTGTGTGTATAGCATAAGAAGTTGACAGGTATTGATATTTTTCAGTAACAATGGAGCAGGAGGAACTGCAGTATGACGAAGGTGTGGACGCAGGCGAGGCCGGAGAGGAGAACTTTGTCGGTGGTGGCGAGGAGGACCATCAACTCAATGATACAGATCAGTCTATAGAAACAGAACTGGAGGCCATTAAAGGTATGGTTTTATTTTAATTTTTCTTTTCTTTGTAGAATTGATTTGGAATATAAAAAAGGAATTGTCCGTCTTATCACTGACTGGTCAGTCTTGCTTATATGAGACATTACTAAGAGTGCATGCTAATTTGGATTCTGGTAATCTGGATAAATTTTCATTCTTGACTTTTTAACACGAAGAGGAATTTGGGTTAAAACATTATGAGGACAGTGAAGCTTGACCAAATTAAAGTTCGGATGCTTGATATTTTAACTCGATTGTGATTTGGGTTTCGGAAACAATCCCATTATAGGCATTTAATATCTGGCCTCTCCCAGTCTCAATAGAGCCAGACAACATGTATAAGTGTTGATGCAACTGGTATTGATAGTGGGCAGGATGATGTTTTTCTTGATGGTGCTTGCCATCTGGTAACTGTTGGTGAGTCTCCACACCATACTTGGGTTTTCCCTTCACAGGTCTCCCTGACTTTGTTCTTTTGTTGCTTTTAAGTGACTGACAATTAAGCTGGTAAGAAAATGTTGAAAATGTATATATTTTAGTCTAAGTAACTGCCAGACAAATCGGTGAATATTTATCTAAGAAGTGCAGAGTCAGCGTGTATTCTTTATGAAGTAAATAGATGCAGAAAATATACATACAGCATGTGATCACAACACATCAGACTGGCTTAGTGGTCCATAATCATACATGAAAATAAACTGAGATGTACAGTATATGAAATGTATATACAATATAATACTGTAACACTAAAAATAGAATGTTTTATTGTTCTAAGCAAATAAGAACATAAGAATAAAGGTAACTGCAGAAGTCCTATTGGTCATACAAGGAAGCTCTTATTTATAACCACCCAATCTCATTCATATAACCTATTGTCTAACCTATGCTTAAAACAATCAAAGGATCTTACTTTTATTACGTTACGCGGTAATTGGTTCCATAAATCAACAACCCTGTTACTGAACCAGTATTTACCCAAGTCTTTCCTAATTTTAAACTTATCCAATTTATACCCATTGTCTTGTGTTGATACCTTTAATACCCTATTAATATCCCCTTTGTTGTGTACATTCATCCACTTGTACACCTCTTATCATGTCACCCCTAATTCTTTGCCTTTCTAGAGAATGTAATTTAAGCTTTGTCAGTCTTTCTTCATATGACAGGTTTCTAATTTGGGGGGATTAATTTTGTCATCCTATTCTGGACGTGTTCTAATGAATTTCTATCCATTCTATAGTACGGTGACCAAAACTGCATAATCTAAATCAGAGCAAGATATAGCTGAAGAACAACACCTGGTGTCTTATTACTAATGCTTTGATTAATAAATCCCAAAGTCCTATTTGCCTTATTGCGAACATTTATGCATTGATTTTTTGGTTTTAAATTCTTGCTAATCATCTAAATCACTAAACTCCCAGATGATTCCTTTTGCCGGATTCCGAATCCGACTTCTTAATCTCAACACCATCTAGCTCGTATCTTTTAACTTTATCATCATTACCTAGTCTTGAAACCTTATATTTGTCAGCATTAAACTGCATCTGCCAATCTTTTGACCATTTTAAAACCATTTTAGATCGTCTTGAAGTGGTAATACTCGCCTAGTTGTGCTTGCGAATAGTTAAGCTCTGGTTCTTTGGTCTCGCCTCTCGACCATCAATCAATTGGTGTACAGGTCCCTGAGCCTACCGGGCTCTTTATCATATCTACACTTGAAACTGTGCATGGAGTCTGCCTCCACATCACTTCCTAATGCATTCCATTTGTCAACTACTCGACACTGAAAAAATACTTTCAAAAGTTGAATAAAAAAAATTAAGATTTTTTTCAGTTGAGGCGCACTTGGGTATTGCATCATATAAACAGTGGTACAGCCCAGGGGCTAGAGAACAGATACAAAACAAAAGTGAATTTATAAAAGATTATGCATGATATAGATTGCAGAAAGCTGTAACTGCATGTATTGAATGTATTAGATGTTCTTCGTAATTTTTAATGTTACCATGATTTTTTCAAGTGCAATTATGCACTGAGCTGCCAATAATGTTATTTGTTGCACTGGGGCCAGATTCACGAAGCAGTTACGCAAGTACTTACGAACGTGTACATTTTTCCTCAATCTTTGACGGCTTTGGTTACATTTATTAAACACTTTACAAGCATGGAAACTTGCCAATCAACTGTTGTTATTGTTATCAACAGCCTCCTGGTGCTTCGGAGCTCATTAACTGTTTTAATAATTGTAAACAAAGCCGCCAAAGATTGACGAAAGATGTACAGGTTTGTAAGTGTTTGTGTAACTACTTCGTGAATCTAGCCCCAGAGCATGTAGTATATAGGTACACATATATTCATATCACTAATATGTGCACAATATTGTATTAAAGTTTGTGAGGGTACCACCTCTGGTGCCAATGTGGGGACCTACCTTGAGGCTACCTTGAGGTGCTTCCGGGGCTTAGTGTCCCCGCGGCCCGGTCGTCGACCAGGCCTCCTGGTTGCTGGACTGATCAACCAGGCTGTTAGACGCGGCTGCTCGCAGCCTGACGTATGAGTCACAGCCTGGTTGATCAGGTATCCTTTGGAGGTGCTTATCCAGTTCTCTCTTGAACACTGTGAGGGGTTTGCCAGTTATGCCCCTTATGTGTAGTGGAAGCGTGTTGAACAGTCTCGGGCCTCTGATGTTGATAGAGTTCTCTCTCAGAGTACCTGTTGCACCTCTGCTTTTCAACGGGGGTATTCTGCACATCCTGCCATGTCTTCTGGTCTCATGTGGTGTTATTTCTGTGTGCAGGTTTGGGACCAGCCCCTCAATTATTTTCCACGTGTAAATTATTATGTATCTCTCCCGCCTGCGCTCAAGGGAGTACAGATTTAGGTTCTTTAGTCGGTCCCAGTAATTTAGATGTTTTACTGAGTGGATTCTAGCAGTAAAGGATCTCTGCACGCTCTCTAGGTCAGCAATTTCTCCAGCTTTGAAAGGGGCTGTCATTGTGCAGCAGTACTCCACTCTAGATAGCACAAGCGTTTTGAAAAGTATCATCATCGGTATAGCATCTCTAGTGTGAAAAGTTCTTGTTATCCAACCTGTCATTTTTCTTGCAGTTGTGACGGCTACTTTATTGTGTTCTTTAAAGGTAAGGTCTTCCGACATGAGTACACCCAGGTCCTTTACATTGCCTTTTCGTTCTATGTTATGATTTGCCTGCGTTTTGTACGTGGTTCCTGTTTTTATGTTTTCAATTTTTCCGTAGCGCATGAGCTGAAACTTATCCTCGTTGAATACCATATTATTTTCTGTAGCCCATAGAAAGACCTGATCAACATCTGATTGGAGGTTTGCCGTGTCCTCTATGTTGCCAACTCTCATGAAAATCCTAGTGTCATCTGCAAAGGATGATACAGTGCTATAGGTTGTGTTCTGGTCTATGTCCGATATGAGGATGAGAAAAAGTACTGGAGCAAGCACAGTACCCTGGGGGACTGAGCTCTTCACGGTTGATGGGCTGGATTTTATTTTGTTGACTATTACACATTGGGTTCTGTCAGTCAGGAAATTGTAGATCCATCTGCCTATTTTCCCGGTAATTCCTTTTGAACGCATTTTATGTGCAATAACACCATGGTCACATTTATCAAAAGCTTTTGCGAAATCTGTGTAAATTACATCAGCGTTTTGTTTGTCTTCCATAGCATCTAATGCCATATCATAGTGGTCCAGCAACTGCGACAGGCAAGAGCGCCCTGTTCTGAAACCATGTTGTCCGGGGTTATGGAGATGCTGTGATTCCATGTATTTTGTGATCTTACTTCTTAGCACTCTCTCAAAAATTTTTATGATGTGCGATGTTAGTGCTATCGGTCTGTAATTTTTTGCCTCTGCCTTATTTCCTCCTTTATGGAGTGGTGCTATCTCTGCTGTTTTTAGTATGTCAGGGATAACGCCAGTATCTAGGCTTTGTCTCCACAGAATGTGAAGGGCCTGCGATAGTGGTTTTTTACAGTTCTTGATGAATATGGAGTTCCAAGAATCCGGGCCTGGTGCAGAGTGCATAGGCATACTGTTTATGGCTTCTTCAAAATCTAGTGGGGATAGGGCGACGTCTGATATGTGATTTGATGTTGGTATCATATCCATGAAAAATTCATTTGGGTTATCAATCTTAAGTGCATTTAATGGCTCACTGAAAACAGAGTCGTACTGCTTCCTCAGTAACTCGCTCATTTCTTTGTTGTCATCTGTGAAAGTTCCATCTCCCTTTCGCAGGGGCCCGATACTAGATGTGGTTTTTTATCTTGATTTTGCATAGGAGAAAAAATATTTCGGATTTCTCTCTATTTCACTGATGGCCTTTTGCTCTCTTTGCCTCTCCTGGGTTTTGTATGATTCTTGTAGCTTGAGTTCAATTGTTTCTATTTCTCTACCTAACCTTCTTCGCCGTTCTTGAGATAGGGTGCGACTCTCAAGTTGTTCCGCGATTCGTTTTCTTCGCCTATATAAGGAACGACGTTCCCGTTCCAATCTGCATCTCTTTCTCTTTTTTCTTAGGGGTATGCGGTTTGAACATATTTCTAGTGCTACTGAGCTTATTTTTTCCAGGCACCGGTTCAGGTTTGCATTTCCTAGCTGTTCTTCCCAGTTTATTTCTGTGAAGTCCTGGTTTATTTGCTCCCAGTTTATCCGTTTATTACCCATAGCCATAGCCTCGGAGAAGAAAATAAAAAGTATTCAGAGGAGACCTTGTGGTTTCTCACTGAACACTAATATTATCTTCTCCTACCACCCCCATTCTTTTGTATGTACACATATATATTTACTTTATTTGAACTTTGTTACAAAAAAGGAGTTACATATGGGTTACAAAGATGGTTGTCATAGGTTGTCGAGTTCCGTATTTGTATAATAACATACTGTGATTACACTATTTATATATTATGTATAACTATTTTATGCATCATAATGAAGCAGTGAACAGTTGTGGCTGGTGTGGTAATCTTATAAGCCAAGCTCAGCATAGCCTCGCAAACTAGTCAATTGCGACCGGGGGAGCCGGTCGGCCGAGCAGACAGCACGCTGGACTTGTGATCCTGTGGTCCTGGGTTCGATCCCAGGCGCCGGCGAGAAACAATGGGCAGAGTTTCTTTCACCCTATGCCCCTGTTACCTAGCAGTAAATAGGTACCTGGGAGTTAGTCAGCTGTCACGGGCTGCTTCCTGGGGGTGAAGGCCTGGTCGAGGACCGGGCCACAGGGACACTAAAGCCCCGAAATCATCTCAAGATAGCCAATGGAACTTGACACGACAAAATACCTCTCAATTTCCTATGTACAGTTTGTGATAATTCTAGCTGCATTACCACTATTATTATCGGAGTCCTGGTCACTAAATCATGAATATGAATCTTTTCCATAAGTTTATTTTCTAAAGAAACACAAGGTCCCATTTCATGATGCGTAAATGCACTAAACCGCGGTTGTGTGCTGTGGATGTATTTTGGCTGCCTTGTGCTGTGAGGATTGTAACTAGCATTGTGTTCACCTTGTTCATAGTTCATAGTCAGATCTTTTATAACTCATGTTTTGATAATCGCAGTTGGTTATTTCATTGCTGCATAGCGGTGCTGTGGGCATTTGCTGTGTAGCGGTGGGCACGCGCCGCGTGGAGGTGCTGTGGGCACGCGCCGCGTGGAGGTGCTGTGGGCACGCGCCGAGTGGCGGTGCTGTGGGCACGCGCCGAGTGGCGGTGCTGTGGGCACGCGCCGCGTGGCGGTGCTGTGGGCAAAGTCAAATAGGGGGGGGAGGGGGTTCCATATGATTGAGATACCAAGTGGAGACCGTACACCCATACTGCACCTTATGTCTGTTCCTGACAGAGCTCAAAGAAAGGTTGTACAACCCACTCCTTGGCTGCTACTGTCTGGAAATGTTATCCAGAGATAGATTAAAACATTGAAAATTGCCAAAGTTATAATTTGGTAATTGCAGGTACAAACAATAACCTCATTGTTTAGATGAAAATTAAAATGAACTTCATTATATCATTAAAGATTGATCATAACCATAATTTACATAATATGTATAAAAGTTGGTGATAATAAGCCAAAATGATCACATGGGGTGAACCACGTTGCCCGGGTTGGGGGGGGGGGTCAGCGTGTGACGAAGGTCGCACGTTAGCACTTTCACTGCTTCAGCTTCTATCCATTGCCTCCTGTGTTCCCAAATTGCTAGTCCAAATTTATACTCAATTGTTAACTATTTTTTAGTGACGCTCATCTCGACATTAATACTTTTAATTAGCTGCGCAGTTTAGAGGTTAGTAGTTAAAGCAGTATTTAGGAAGATATTTTATATAAAAAAATCCATACCCATATTTGATGAAACTGTGATGATGGCTGTGATGAAACGACTACATTAAAGTTTATGTAATTTTCATTCTTTTTCCGCAGGGAATTGGGTTGTGTTAAATAGTGTTATTTAGTGAACAAATACACAAAGGCCTTGATGAGGGGTTTGAACTTACGCACATGCGTTAAAATGCTCTCACGTGCGTAGGTTCAAACCCTCGTCAAGGCCCTTGTGGATTTGTTCATTTGATCTATCACGCTATTGAGGTTTTTGTGTATATGCTATGTAGTACGGGACCCAAAATACTTGGGTCTTGTTGAGTTGGGATTATTTTGTTCATGTTTAATCACCTATCTGATTGTTTTTCTATGTACAGAACATTTTATTTAAGATTAAAATACAATTTCAGCTCGAGTCAGAGAAATGGAAGAAGAAGCCGAGAAAATTCGCCAAATCCAGTCAGAAGTGGATAAACAAATGAGTTTGGGTTCACCTCCAGGCGCCGCAGGAGCAACATCGCCACTCAACATGTCTATAGAAGAAAAGATGGAAGTGGATGCTCGCTCTATATATGTTGGTAATGTAAGTGTATGGAAATGTTTGGCTTCAGATCATTGAATTATATGGATAAATAATGTTTTCTGGGGGGAGCCCCGTCGGCTCCCTGGAGCTTTACCGGCTGATATGCTAATGTCAGACTTTGGCATCAGTCATGTGTATGGAGTTCTAGGGCCTACCGGGGACCACGAGCCAGAACCTGGCCCCCTCAGAGAGGCAAGGGGAGCAATGGCCTATAGAAACCCCCGTGTGGTTGGAAGCATTCTATGTCTGCCATCGACCGGGTCAAGCATCCAGAAAGGTAAGCATTCCAAAACAAACCCCTATTCTGGTGAAAATTGCTACCTAAGCCGAACTAGTGAATAGAACTCTTCAACAGAAAACACGGAAACTAGTATGACGTCATACGTCACCGCGCCGCTGTCTGCGCAGCTCCCCCCTCCCCGGGAGGGGGAAGGGGGAGCCCCAGACCTCCCACGCCGGCTATCCACCCATCAGTTCTTCGGCTGATGCTATTGGCAATGGTTATGTGCTCCGGCTCCAGTGGTTGTTTCAGCACTGTACCTAGAGTGTGGTGTCTGTTTTCTAGGTGGTGCGTGAGCCGGGTGTGATTCTTCAGTACTCGGGCTGCATGCGCCTAGGGTTCCCTTCCCTAGGTGCCCTGTAAGTACTGCCCTTGGGGCTTGGGGCCACCTTCCACAAGTTCCTTGGGTCCTGCCCCTGCTTGGCCGTTTACCGCTTGGTTTTCGGCCGCTCTTTGTGTGCTCGGGTGTTCTGTCTCCCATGTTCGCCTTAGAGTAAGGGGCGGTGTTTGCACTGGTGGGGCGCGGGGTACTGTGCAGCTTGTCTTTACCAATCATAGCGGCCGGCTCTGTTCCGCTTGGGTACGCTGTCCTCTTGCGGGGTTTTCTTTTTCTTTTGTTTATATACCTGGTGGGGGGGTCTGCCTTCGTTCTTGCCCCTTGTGTCCCTTGTGTTCTGAGTATTTCTGGTGGTACCCCCTGCTAGGTCCCCGTGAGTGTACACGTCCCGGGGGTTCAGCTCTTAGAAAGTTGTTTGGTAGCTTGGGTGCCGGTTAGCAGTACCCTGCCTGGGATTACCTGAGCGCGAGTCCTCTTAAAGTAAACGCTCGGGACCCTGGGAAACCCCTGGGGGCGCGCGGGTCCGATGGATGTGACCCCAGAGCCCCCCCCTCGCTTCCAGCGAGTTTGAGGGTTGCTCTCACCTTTTGTCTCTGGGTGACTCTCTGTTTTGCCTCCGTCTGCTGCCTGTGGGGTCGGTGACACCTTCGACCCGGTGTCCTGCGAGTTTGGTTGCTCGTTGTGGCTCGGTTACCCAGTTGTGCTAACAAAGCGGGTGCGGGCAGCAGGGGCGTTGCACTTGAGCCTTGGTGGTGGCAACGTTCTCGTGGTTTCCTCCCCGGGAGCCCCGGGGCTGCCCCGTTGTATTTCGTTTTGGGAGCTTGGGGGTGTTGGTTGCATCCACGCCCCCTTGTCTTTCCCCTGGTTCACCCTTCCTGCCTGCATCCGGTTCCTTACCATCTGTAGGTTCAGGGCGGGGTGTTTCGTGGTGTTGAGACTCGGGCAGTCTCGGGGAATTCCCCTTCCGGGGTAGTGACGGGGGCATTTGGGCCTGTTCCTCCAGCCGTGTTGTATGAGTCTGCCAGTGGGCTCCCTTCCTTAGTGTTTTCAAGGCTGCCCCGGTTTTCTGGTACGGCCGGGGCTTTGGGGGAACGGCTCGGCCCCGGGGCCTGTCGTGTAGGTTCCCGGGGCTGGGGAGGGGCTGCCTTGGGGGGGGCCTTGGCCCCGTTAGACCCCGTGGGGGGTTTTATCCCCCTCTAGGCGGGGCTTGTGGTTACGCGGAGTGGGGTCTTTCCTCCCCACTCGCCGTACGTGCTGTTGGACGTCGGCCCCTCCCCGGGCTCGGTTCCTTGGCCTTTGAGTCGGTTGGTTCCGTCCTGTGGGTGGATGTTTCCTCCCCCGCTTTTTGGGACGGTGTTTTTGTCATGTTTCCCTGTTCGTTGGGGTTCTGCGTGACTTTTGATCTCGGGTGCGCCTGCGCCTTCGTGTGCCTTCGGGACTAGTGTTGGCTTCTGTGTTCTCGAGGGTACGGGAAGGTTTTTCGCTACTTCCCGCATTATTGGAACGTCTGTCGGCTCCTAGTACTTGTCGCCCTGTTGGGCTACTTGTCGCCCTGTTGGGCTACTTGTCGCCCGGTTGGGCTCCTTGTCGCCCGGTTGGGCTACTTGTCGCCCGGTTGGGCTACTTGTCGCCCGTTTGGGTTCCCGGTTTTTTTTGGGCTCTTTGCTTCTTTGGCCGGTTTTATTGTTCCTGCTTCCTCTTTTGGCTCCTTTTCTCGTGTGCGTGTCCTTGTTCCTGTGTCCGGTTGTGGAGTGGCGCTTTGCTGCCGTTTTGTGCCTGGGGATTGCGTGGGGTTTTTGTCCCTGCCTGATTGTCCACCCCTGGTTGTTCTCCTGGTTTTTTTTTTTTTTTTTTTGTGCTTCTGCTCTTTCTTCCTGCCTCTTCTGCAGCAGGAATGTTCTGCGTGTGTTCTTAGGCGTTTGTCAGCCTGTGTCCTGTGATGTGCTTCTTTGTCTCGGTCTGTTGCAGTTGTTCGTGCCCCTTGGTTCGGGTCCTGTTCTGGCGGCGACCCTTCCGCCTTCTTTGGTTTCCTAGCTTGCCCTGCCGGTTGTTTTTTTTTTTGGGGGGGGTCTTGCGATGTCTCGCGTCGGACCCGTCGTTTCTGAACTCCTGGCGGGCTTGCATGCTTCGGAGTTTTTCTGTTCGGCAGACGTTCCATCTCCTTGTGCTGCCTGGGTTTCGGTGGTCGCGCCCGAGATCTTCTCGCGGCTCCGCCTTTTTCCTGGGCTCGGGGGGGGCCTTGTCGGGGCTGCTTATGTTCTGCCTCGTGGTCTCGCCTCCGGTTGGTGGTCAGGTGGCTTCGTGGTAGGTGTCCCACCTGCGTGCTTTCTTGGCGGCAGTATGGGGTATTTTGGCGGTCCTTCCTTTTCCTGTCCCTTCTTCGGTGGGTCCTTCTTGTTGGCTTGGTTTACTCTCGGCTTGGTTTTCTAGTGGGGGTTGGGGGCCGTCGTCTTGCCACATACTGTCGCCTCTTTTCGTGCGGCGCAGGCGGAGCCGCTTCAGCTTGCTTTCGGTCTTGGTGTTGCTTCTGCACCGTTAGTCAGCTGTCTTGTGCGTCATTTCACCTCCGGCCTGTTCGTGCGCCGCTTGCACCATCCTGGTCTCTGGTCAGCGTGCTCTGTCTTCTCCTCGGTTGGTAGTGCCCCTTCGGTTCCGGTGTGTTTTTTCGTCGGCTCTTTCCTTTGGGCCTTTGCCTCTGGGGGTCGGTTCGCTGTGTTTTCGTGCTCCTTCGGTTTTAGCGTTTTGGTTGTTTGATGGCAGCGGTCTCCATCTTTTCTGGCGGGGGGTGGGGCTGCTGCATTCTGGAGGGGTCCAGGGTTTGTTGGTGCTTTGTTGGTCGGGCCGGGGGTGTGTCGTTTTTGTGTTCAGTGGCGGCCCTCTGCTGTTGTTTGCGTGCCACGGCGTTTGGGTCCGGAGCGCGTTTTGCGTTGATCCGGTTCTGTTCTTCCCGGTTCGCGGGTGATGGTGTCCCGGGTGGTCAGCCGTGTTCTTGCGGCTAAGCTGCCTGTGTTCTTCCCTCATGCCTGTGGCGTTCGTGGCTTCGCTGCTCTCGCTGCCGTCTGGGCGACGTGGCCTTGCAGTCTTTCGAGCATGGATTTTTGGTGTTCGTGCAGGGGCCTTGCTGCTCGTGGTTCTCGTGTTGTTCCCGGGATTTTCGGGGCTGTGGCGCCTTGGGTTGGCGTTTGCTGCCGGTTGTCTCGCCTCCTTGGGGGGTGCGTGGTGTCCGCCTCCCGGTTTTGTCCCTTTGACCTTCCTCTGTGGGTAGTTAGCTCCGGGGAGCCGACGGGGCTCCCCCCAGAAAACCAGCGTTGAATGTAATGAAACGCCATTTTCTGGGTGAGACCCGGAGGCTCCCCGGCAACCCTCCCTCCCTCCGGTCGGCGTTTTTCGCGTGTTTTGACATCCAGCCTCAGAACTGATGGGTGGATAGCCGGCGTGGGAGGTCTGGGGCTCCCCCTTCCCCCTCCCGGGGAGGGGGGAGCTGCGCAGACAGCGGCGCGGTGACGTATGACGTCATACTAGTTTCCGTGTTTTCTGTTGAAGAGTTCTATTCACTAGTTCGGCTTAGGTAGCAATTTTCACCAGAATAGGGGTTTGTTTTGGAATGCTTACCTTTCTGGATGCTTGACCCGGTCGATGGCAGACATAGAATGCTTCCAACCACACGGGGGTTTCTATAGGCCATTGCTCCCCTTGCCTCTCTGAGGGGGCCAGGTTCTGGCTCGTGGTCCCCGGTAGGCCCTAGAACTCCATACACATGACTGATGCCAAAGTCTGACATTAGCATATCAGCCGGTAAAGCTCCAGGGAGCCTCCGGGGCTCACCCAGAAAATGGCGTTTCATTACATTCAACGCTGGTTTTTTGGGAGTGGTCCGAGGTGGCTCCCTGTTGCTAGCTAATTTGTTAGCACTACACACAAGTTACGGCAGCCCTTGTGAGGCACTAAAAGCCTACTGGGTACTTGAAGCCAAAACCTGCACCTCTACGTCAGGGGTTCTGGATCACCCTAAAGTCCTTGGTGATTCTGGATCACCAAGGACTATGCCACCAGCAATGTAGCATGAAACGGGAACTGACAAATTCCCAATTGCAAATATTCAATTCCCAATTCCCAAAATGCAATTGCAAGGCAAATTGAAATAACTTTGGAATGAAGCACACAATAGTTTGGTCATTCACCTGTTAGCTACAACAGTTTTTTTTTTTTTTTTTTTTTTTTTTTTTTTTTGAGATATATACAAGAGTTGTTACATTCTTGTACAGCCACTAGTACGCGTAGCGTTTCGGGCAAGTCCTTAATCCTATGGTCCCTGGAATACGGTCCCCTGCCGCGAAGAATCGTTTTTTCATCCAAGTACACATTTTACTGTTGCGTTAAACAGAGGCTACAGTTAAGGAATTGCGCCCAGTAAATCCTCCCCGGCCAGGATACGAACCCATGACATAGCGCTCGCGGAACGCCAGGCGAGTGTCTTACCACTACACCACGTGGTGTAGTGGACTGTACCACTACACCACGGAGTTCTCTGGAAGTGTTGGGCCATCCATTGGCTTCTATCTTCCTGGGGACCAAGTTTGTTCCAGGTTTTAGTATTTGTTTCAAGATGGGGTTTCTGTGTTTCACTATGTATGAGTTTTGATTACTGTTCACTTTTAATACTGATATACTTTTACTTATAATAATACTTTTAATACTGTTTTGTATTACTGCTTTGGGTTGCCATGAGAGCTACGCTCGTGGTGTCCCGTCTTCCCAGTACTGTCATATAATGCTTTGAAACTACTGTTTTGGCCTCTTCCACCACCTTGCCTAACTTGTTCCAACCCCCTACCACTGTTTGCAAACTTGAATTTTCTTATATTTCTTCGGCAGCTTTGCTTTGTTTAAATCTCGGACCCGCTGTTCATGAAGTTTCAGGTCTTGAGAATTCTTCCCTGTCAATTGTATCGATTCCCATTATTATTTTGTACATAGTGATCATATCACCTCTTTTTCTTCTCTCTTCTAGTTTTGGCATGTTTAATACTTTTAAGGGGCTTCTGCGTGTTAAGGGGCCGTCAGATTGTCAGAGTCAAAGTTGTTCAATGTCAACCAATATTATTTGACTAGTTGTATATGAAAAGTGCTTTAATTGTCCCAAGTTTCAGTACTGCAGCATAAATAGAAAGGGAGATTTTTTTTTTTTGTTTTTTTTTTCAACGTTTTTTACCCATTTTCAAGTCCACACTTCAGAACACACGTTTCAGATATAATTATTCTGTGACACTTTTCTGACACATTAGCATATAATAAAGGACCTTGAGATATAGAATTTCCAAAACATCTTTAGTTTTCCTAATACAAATGTTCAAAGTTCCCAAAATTTTTTTTGCAAATATGGCATGTTTATTGCTATTATAAAATCAATAAATGAACTTAGAGAAAAATGAAAACTCCACAATGTAGAGACATGCCCCACAATGTAGAGACATGCCCTCCACATATACTGTGTAAGTTTCATGTAAATTGAATAAAAAATGAATCAGTTTTGTAAACGTTTGTGTCAATTGAAAAAGCAAATGAATAAAGTCTAAGGTTCTAAAATCTGTGGCTGAGGTTGACATCAACCAATTTTCTCCCAAATTGGCGTCCTTACAGATAGGCTTACGTACAGTCAGGTGTGTAAGTTTGATGCAAATCGCCCGAAAAAAAAAATAAAAAAAAATTTAAAAATTAAAAAAAAAAGTTTTTTTTTTTTTTTTTAAATTTTTTTTCAATTAAACTAATTATAATATTTGTTTAATATATGCTATTGTGATAGCAAAGAGTCATAGCTATGATTTCAGTTGACACTTTTGATTGATAATCGATTTTGACCATTTTGGCATAATTTTCACTACTACAATATTTTTTTTCTCCCTTCCTATTTATGCTAAGATGCTGAAACTTGGACCAGATGAAACACTTTTCATATAGAACTTGTCAAAAAAGTTTGATTGAAATCGAACGAGTTTTCATTTTTGCATTTTTATAACCAGACCTCTAACCTTAACCTCTTCTTGTAGCTGTTGTCTTTCAGTTCTGGGAGCCATTTAGATGCACGTCTTTGCACCTTTTCCAGTTTGTTGTGCTGCTTGAGATATTGGCACCATATACCCGCTACATATTCCAGCTTTGGTCTAACAAAGGTCATGAACATTTTCTCTAGAATATCACCATCTATGTAGGTGCTTGCTGGTCTTGGCTCTGCCCAGCTAGGGTTACCTTCCCTAGTGGTATCGGGAGTCCATTCCTGAGTGTTGACTTTCTGTAGTTTTCTCGACAATTTATTTTGGTTCCTCCTTCAGGATTGGGACTTCACTTTCGTGATGGACCTGATCTCTTAATAGGTTTGGTGTGTGTCTGCTTTATGGACGAGTTGAGGTTCGTGCTTCCTCCTGGCTTGTGGTCAGCCATTTGTTTTCCCTCAGGTTTGGCTCGGCTGTATTTGGGATGGATCATTTGAGCGGTGAAAGGCAAGAATGGTTTTACAATTCTGGGCGGGCACTTCCTTTGTGACATTTGAGGCTTGCTTTTTGCCTCAATCCTGAATTTGCCTTCACTTTCTGGGAGCCGGGCTGCAGAGCATCATGGTTAGGCTCTGGCTTGCCGTTGTTTTGTGCATTTGCTGTAGTTGATCTCTTCTCCGGGCAATTACAGGGCAGCTTGGAAACATTGTCTTCAGTTACATGGGGTTGAGGCTGTGTTGCCTGTAGTTCAGGCTTTGGAGGCAGTGCCCACACTTCTCTTTCAAGAGGCTGTTGCAAACTTCATTTTTAGCCTGGTCAGCGTGACTGCAAGCCATTTTTAACCTACTCCTTTCTCTCTTCTGTTTCCCATGGCAGCAGTGTCTGCCATTATGTTGACTGTGGCCATTGCCTTCCAATCTCATATACACTGGCAAACCTAGTGTTCCGCACCCAGCAGAACCTACACGTTCTGACTAATACAAGTACAATGGGGCCTCGACTTACGATGCTAATCCGTTCCCAGAGACGGATCGTAAGTCGAAATATCGGAAGTCGAAGCAAATTTTCCCGTAAGAAATAAAGGGATTTGAATTAATCCGTTCCCCACCCTCCAAAATATTAACATAAAAATACATTTTATACTGAATACAATGTTTTTTTTCTAACTACAATACAGCACCAAAGTTACTCTTACCTTTATGGAGGGCTCTTGATGGCGTATGGAAGATGGTGATGAGGGGGGGAGGAGGAGAGTTGTTACTGTTTGGAAGGGGAGTCCCCTGCCATTATCACATCAGGCAGTGATGTTTTCTCTGGGGTACTCTCTCTCCTACGTTTTGCCTGAATACCTCTAGGACCTGGTTGTGGTTCAGTGCTTGTTTGTCTCACTACAAATGTCAAGAGACATTTGTTTTTCCATTCGTTTTAACATTTGTCTAATGATGCATCACTTTAGCACCCATAATGTCCTTTTTCTTAGCCAGTATGGTGGATATCGTTGACTGAGATTTGTTGTACCGCCTAGCCAGTTCACCTACCTGCACACCATCTTCATATTTACGAATGATCTCTTGTTTCTGCTCTATGGTCATTCTTACATGGGATCTCATATGTTGAGCCTTACCACTGACTTTCCTGGGACTCATGGCGTATTATATAATAATTACTTTAATGTTCAAAATGCAAAAAATCCCCACAAAAGCGGAATTTCTTATAGGCGCGATCGTCACTAAGCGGGCAGCTGTAGTAAACTGAGGCAGGTCGGACCGCTTGACTGGGAACCACACGCTCGGTCGACCCGAACGTGTACCAACAAATATCAGATGTCGAGTCGCATTTTTCGATGAAATTTATATCGTAACTCGAAATTATTGTAAGTAGGGGCAATCGTATGTCGAGGTGCCACTGTATCAACAAGCGAGTCGTACTCTGGAATAAACGTTGTGCACCGGGTCAAATTTTACTACAAAAGTGTCGTTGTGAATAACTCGTAACACCAAAAAATTTGTACTCTGAGCATTCGTAGACCCGTTGACCTGTCGTGACTGCCTTTGGGAGCAACCAACTATAAGAGCATGTTGGTCAATGCAAGGCTGCTCTCATTTGAAATTGCTAAACTGTATAGATGATGAGTCACAATAATGTGGCTGATGATGACCAAAGCACTCGTCAGAAAATGTAGAAATGACGTTTCGGTCCATCCTTGGACCATTATCAACTTGTATAATGGCAAAATTTGTCTTCCTCGTACCCATTGTTTTGTGTTTTGACTTTCCAGCCCTTTCAGAATCCTGTTAATATCTTCCCTGCCACACCACCGTCCCATTGTTTACATCCCTAAAAGGACCTAACCCACTGGGTAGCTTATCCTTGCCCTGCATCTTGCTAACAAACACAGATTGACTCACACTTCAACTTTGCCAGTTTTTCTCTCATAACTTGAGCTTTATGAGCATTTGAATAACTAGAAACATGTCTTTTTTTGTTATCTGTTTAAATATGATGAAATGAGAAGTACGAGATGAGGCCAGCCTTTTGTCATCCAAATTCAGCTGTTACCTCCATTTATGACGAATAATCTTCTCTCTGATGTTTTTAATGCAGTATATTTCAAACCATGACTTCTCCAATAGTTATCATTTTTGAATGTGTAATACTAATACGTGTGTGTTGTTGCAGGTTGACTATGGAGCTACAGCAGAAGAGCTTGAACAACACTTCCATGGGTGCGGTGCGGTGAACAGAGTCACTATACTCTGCAATAAGTATGATGGTCACCCAAAAGGCTTTGCATATATAGAGTTTGCAGAGAAAGATTCTGTTCAGATGGCAATGGCACTGGATGAATCGCTCTTCAGAGGACGACAACTTAAGGTAAATATGGTATGACGGAAGACATCGGATGGTAGTTAGTGCTTCATAATGGAAAATTGAGTGATGTTCTAGTTGTATTGTCTCAATTAAATGTTTAATTGAGCTTGTGTTGTGTTTCTGGTAGGTCAATGTACCAGTTAGTTTTAGCTAAAATTTAATTTCCTTATTATTTATTGTAATTAACATGTACTTGCCTAGTTGTGCTTGCGGGGGTTGAGCTTTGGCTCTTTGGTACCGCCTCTCAACTGTCAATCAACTGGTGTTCTTTATTAGAAGACAAAACTGGAGGTCACAAGTTTGAGTCCTGTACGGGGTGGTTGTATTTAGAGGCCCCGTTCACAGACCGGGCCGTGGGAACGTTGTGCCCCGAAATCATCGCAAGATATATCTGCTTGCAGTTTTTCAATGTCTTCAACTGAAGTAATTTTCATGCTGATTTTTGTCATCTGCAAAAGATAATAAGAAACTGTGACTTGTATTTTTGTCTATATATCTGAGATGAGAATGTACTCATACTGCCATATGAGCAGGCCATACTGCCTGGCCTGCTCAAACCTGCCCACCTGTTCAACCGCCTCCCTGCCAGCCATCCATCCATCCATCCTACCCCACCCACAATCCAGCTGCTTGCCTTCCCAAACTTCCCCAAAAAGTTATTGACAGCGGAATAAACTGGAGAATAATGTACTGTGTTATCAGAGCCAGTCTAACCAATACCAGCTGACGCGCGCCTCGTGACGCCCAAACCAGCAACTATTGGGCTACTGTGTCCACCTGACCAAAGACTGGGCAACCAATCAAGGAGGCACGTTTGTCATTTCCAGGTAAATGACTTTGCAAATGTCATTTACCCTGTTCGCCTGTCTCGCTGTATAAATGCCTCCCTGTATACATGAATACAAGCGATAAATGAATGAATGAAAGATTGGTGAAGGTGGTATTTTTCCACTGTTTCTATGCTATCAAAGTCTACCATGACACTAGTAGACTTAATTTTTACAGGTAATGCCTAAACGGACAAACAAGCCAGGCATTAGCACCAGCAACCGACCTCCACGTGTGATGAGAGCCGTTGGACGTGGACGAGGACGTTTTTACTCTGGGTATCGACCTTTGAGAAGACCATCCAGGTACCTGTTCATCTAGTTTGCTAAAGTGTTGCCATTATATTGATGCCTAGTCTTTGCTATTGTAGCTTTCATCTGCGCTGGCTTAAATATTTAGCAATACAGTATAGAATTTAACTTTCAAAATATTTTTGATTCATTCTGAATTTTGGAGAACTTTCATTAAGGTTTATTGTATGATATAATTTATTCATGTGTTTGATTTACTGAACAGTATTCTTAATACAGTGGAACCTTGATAGACTGGAGTAATTGGAAGTAAATTTAGTTTTTTCTTCCCGGGATCTGAGGCCAGACAGGTACGTTTAGGTCACAGGTGTCGTGTATGTCGCTTGACGTACATGTGTCTCGGTTTGAATATACGGGTTGTATGTTTCTGCCATGAGTGTCGGTCACGTCTCTTTCCCGCTACTATATATATTTAGAGATATAAGTAATAGAAGGTAAGAGTGACATGTTGAGAGAGAGGTAGAAAAATCAGGGAAGATAAGATATAAAGTCCCTCAAATGCATTCGACACAAAACATAAACCATCGACGTGGTGTCCGAGAACGTGTCAGTACCTCAGACAACACAGGATAATAATTTCGTAGGTTTTGCCAATGAAGAATTAAGCAGCGGAGGTATTCTTGGCAGGTTAGTAGAAATGGAAGATTTGCGGAAGATTCATGACAAAAAAAATCTGAACTCGGGGAAGGAAAGTGAAGATTTGCTGCTTTCAAAAAGTCACCAGCATGACTGATACTCTTTAAAATACAGGAGTGACAAATTAAGGAATTATTGAAGGAAAAACAAGAAGTGATAAGGGACACTTTTGAAAGAGTCAACAAAAATTTAAACGAAAATGTGCAGTAACTCTTGAGGAAATAGATGTTTTGATATGTCCTGCAAGAACCTACAATTGCACACACCACCACCAGCACTGGTGGTGGTCACCCTGCAAGAGGTAAATGGGCAGATGACCACAATATGCAAGAGCATCTGCCAAGATCCACTGTATCTTGGGTGGAAAGGTCAGATGCCAGGATGTCGGACTTGCAATTGCAGGTTGTTGCAGGAAGTATCAAAAGAAAACCTTCACATCTGGCCCCAAACATCTCCAATCTACCCAAAGTGATGAGTCAAGTAGAGAGAAAACTGGTTGGCATCTCGAACAGGAAATAACTTAAGACTTAGAAAGCCATATAAGGATGAGATGAAAGAAAGTGATATGCAAGTAGTCGGATAAAAGAAACGGTGAAAGAAGTGTAAGAAAGTCGTGAACAGGTACAAGACAGTGGACAGAAGTCCGTGATAATACTTAGGTGTGACGAAAAGGAGATAGCATCCAGGGTTGGACAGAGCCACAAACAAATTTTTGGTAAAGTTGTAGGCTTAAAGGAACAAAGGGTAATATTAGTGATTATAGAAGAACAGGCAAATATGAAAATTATAAACTCACCCTTAAGGGTGACACAAAATAATATGTAACAAGTGCTTGGAAATGTTAGGAAATGGCAAAAATGCCGAGGATGGGGAAACTGGTCACTGAAGAGAACACTTGTCAACACAAGACGGGGGGAAGCTCAAAAGGAACCTAGATAAAGCAAAACATTGAAATGAAAGGAAGTCAAAATTATTTTATTCTGAAAGGTGATAGGGATTGGAGGAGCAGTGAAGTGGATCATATGGCGCACCCACGGCACTAGAACTATGGGAAGAAAGGGAAGGGGAGTGAAAGTAACAGGTTCCCGGGAAAATCTAATGGAATAGATTTCTTAAAAAAATAGAATAGAATATTGAAGTTAAAGCATATAATGCAAGTGAAGATGACTGGTATCATTGTTCTGGCAGAGACTAAACTGGAAGAATCATATTTAGATGCTGTTGTGTACAAGCATTCACAAGTCAAGCCTGGCCTCGGGCCGGGCTTGGGGAGTAGAAGAACTCCCAGAACCCCATCAACCAGGTACTCGCCTAGTTGTGCTTATGGGGGCTGAGCTCTGTCACTTTGGTCCCGCCTCTCAACTGTCGATCAACTGGTGTACAGAGTTGTATTCTGAGGGGATACTCGATCTGGAGGTGCGGTGAGATGGAACATAAGGGACAGGGCAACCAAGGCACTAGAAGGAAGGGTGAGAAAGGAGAAACATCAGAGGTTACCTTCCGTTGATTTTGGGAATCAATATCCCCACGGCCCGGTCTCTGACCAGTCCTCTTGGTTGGCCTCGTCAACCAGGCTGTTGGATGAGGCTGCTCAACGCCTGATTGATCAGGTATCCTTTGAAGATGTTTATCGAATTCTCTTGAGCACTGTCGTGTTACACACAAGTAGATGTGGATTCTAGCAGTAAAGATCTCGGCACGGTCTCCAGGCCAGCAATTTCTCCACCATTGAAAGAGGCTGTTATTTTGCAACAGTATTTCACTCTAGAGAGCACTAGCATCTTAAAAAGTATCATTGGTATGCCATCCCTTGTTTGGAAGGTTCTTGTTATTCAACCCATCATTTTTTTTGGAAATTGTGACAGCTAGTGTGTTGTGGTCTTTGAAGGTAAGGTCTTCCGACATGATTACCCCCAAATCGTTTATATTGCCTTTTCATTCTATGGTATGATTTGAATGTTTTGTATGTGGTTTCCCTTTTTCTATTAATTTATTCTATAGTGTGGGAACTGGAACAAGGCAAAAAATTACAGACCGATAGCACTAACATCACACATCATAAAAATCTTTGAGAGCATGCTAAGAGGTAAATGAACAAATCCACAAGGGCCGTGATGAGGATTCGAACCTACGTCTGAGAGCATCCCAGACGCCGCCTTAATCGACTGAGCTACGACATGAAACCAGAAGGTCTACTGAACTTATTTGGATCCTGCAGCCTCTCCAAGACACAAACCAGAGTTTTACACAACTCCCCCATTCACTCGAGCTATGTCAATAGGCCGTTCTACCTCTTTGCCCTTACTTCATTACACACAGAAATCACAATAGCGTGATGCATCAAATGAACAAATGAAACCAGAAGAGCAATTTCTGGTTTCAAATCTTTTATTGTCGTAGCTCAGTCAATTAAGGCAGCGTCTGGGATGCTCTCAGACGTAGGTTGGAAGCCTCGTCACGGCCCTTGTGGATTTGTTCATTTACTTGGCACTCTCAAAGATTTTTATGATGTGTGATGTTAGCGTTATCGGTCTGTAATTTTTTGCCTCTGCCTCATTCCCTCCTCTATGGAGTGATGCTATCTCTGCTGATTTTAGTATATCAGAGATAAAGCCTGTATTTAGGTTGTCTCCAAAGACTGTTAATTAACACTTTGGCGCTTTCCTGCAGACCGTCGTTGTCACCAGTATTATTAATCACACCGCACGCGTGCCCCTCTCGGGAGTCACGAGCAAAAGTATTTGTATAAAATCTATTTATTATCCGATCAACTTGGGAATAGTTTACAAATGTTTGCCATGAAATTTACGTTTTCTCTAATAGCCGAACAGCTTATTAAAGAAAACGGCATGGCAGTGAATCATCGTGGTAAAACAATTGTATTATTGACACGACGAGTATAATCGACGTAGTTTTTATATATGTTGCCGGTCGAACGCATCCTTATGTGACCTTTAATACATATGTTCTTATAGAACATTCTATTGCGAGCACATTGGTACAAAAATGAAATACATACATCGACAAATAATGTCAGGACAGTGAATTGAATATACACTTTTCAAAGCGAGTTTCGCCGATATGCCGCCGCGGGTAACACTTCGGCCACTTCCCACACTGTTTTGGGTGGGCTACGACATTGAATCTATATTTATATGCATATGTCCATGTAGAGAATTTTATTGCGATTCCAATGATACCACAATTAGCGATGTAGGACAACTGTAGGCTTCGCAACCATTAAGAGAGTGGAAACATTTTGTTGCTGTTTGGCGCTCTCGGCTAGTGATCTGAATAGTTTTTTATTTGGTGTTGATAATCCTTATGCTTTGGCGGCATTTTATAGATATGTTCTTATAGACAATTTTATTGCGAACACAGTGATACCAAATTTAAATACGTGCGCCTTCAAATATTGTCTGGACAGTCAAAAGAGTGTACACTTTTTCGGTCTTACCGCGTAGGCGCGCGAAGCGCCGAAAGCATCTAGGGTATGATTTTTTTTTGAACGCCGAGAGCGCGAAAGTGTTAAGGGCCTGCAATAGTGGTTTTTCCAATTCTTGATGAATATAGAGTTCCAAGAATCTATGCCTATGCACTCCGCACAAGGTCTTATGTCTACGGCTATTTCAAAATCCAGTGGGGTTAGGGTGTCATCTGATGTATGGTTTGATGTTGGTATCACATTCATGAAGGATTAGTTCGAGTTATGAATCTTCAGTATGTTTAGTGGCTCGCTGAAAAAGGAGTTGTACTGTTTCAATATTTTGCTAATTTCTTTATCTGTGACAGTTCCATCTTTCTTGTGCAGGAACCCGATAATAGATGTACTTTTTTTCCCTAGATGTGATCTAAAGGTGTTTTTGTTTTTCTAGTTCCACAATTTGCTGGTTTAAGGCAAATTTGTCGCACATCCGTAATAGGTCATTTGTGTGTGTGTTCACTTGGACTACTTCCTGAGATGCTCTCAGATATAACTGTATATGCTACGTTTTTCTTTAAGTGCCATGGGTTTAAGTTCCCAAGCGAGATGATGTTTGGCTGAAGTTGTGATGTTTTCTAAGCAGTTTTCTATTTTCCTTAGTTAGTCTTTAACCAACTAATGATGGCGGTTATGAAAAAATTATCATACAACAAAAAATTCATTATAGAATTACTAATTCGAATGCAGAATGTAAAAAAAACACAAAAATAAGTGAATATTTATTGTTTCATTGGGGTTGAGGTGATGTGCAAGGCTGGGTCTGACACTTGTAAACGCCTGGTGCTCCACGTTGCTAACACTTCCTGTTTTATCCTTGGATGTTACATTGGTTGTTTTATCACTTGTCTATCTTTATTTACATCCACAGAGAGCTATTTTATCCATATTTGCATCATACATGTAAAACCCAGACAATAATTTAAATCATATGAAGATGACTGCATTCCCCTAGTAACATTCATGACGATAACCACATTCGTACCATGAAATGGTAGCAGGATTTTCTGTGGAGGGCCTTTTTGGCTCCTCGGAGCTATACCGGGCTGATGTGTATATATTAGACCGTGGCAACAGTCAATTGATAGATTTCTTTGTCTACCGGGGACCACGAGCCAGAACCTGGCCCTCTCAGAGAGGCATGAGGAGCAATGGCCTATAGACATCCCCATGTATTTGGAAGCAGTCTATATCTGCCATCTACCAAGCAGGCACCCACAAAGATAGAAATCCCAAAACAAACTACAGCTGGTTAAAATTGCAAACCGAAAGCAGAATGAGCAAGCAACTCCCCAATCAGAAAACAAGCAAACAAGCATAATGTCACCACAGACGCTGCGCCGCTATCTGCGCAGCCTCCCCCTTTCCGGGAGGGGGAACCCTGGGAACCAAAGCGGGGCATCCGGGGCAGCAACCTAAACGTCGCATGCAACGATGAAGCTGCCTGCACCCAAATATAGTGAACTGAAGTACAAGCAAGGAACAACACTCGCAGGACTCCGGGTCAAAGGTGTCATTGATCCATCAGGCAGCATGGCGGAGGTCAAAACGGTGAGTGTCACCATGAGACAAGGGGACAGAGCCACCTTCAAAGTCGCACGAAGCGAGATGGGACTCGGAGGACGCATCCATTGGATCACTGAACCTTAATGTTGGGTTTCCAGGGCCCTTAGGCTGATTGCTAAAGAAAGCCCAGGCAAAGTACTGCTAACTGGTTATCCCAAAACTACCAAACAAGCAAAATGCTGAAACCCTGCAATGTGTGCAATTACGGGGACCTAGCGGAGGGCCACCCAAATAAAACTAGTTCTACAGCCACACCAGGCAAAACAAAAAAGAAACAAAACACCCAGTCAAAGCATACCATCTCCAGGTGGAACAGAAATGGTCGTTATGCGTATTATAAGAGCTACACAGTCCCTTGCGCCCCTGCTAGTGAAGATACTACCTATTCCCCAAGGCCAAACAGTGGTAGGAAAGAACCCCAGTTGACCCCATGGGCGGGCAATAAACAAGCAGCAAAAGAACCCTGCGATAGCAGTTCCCGAACAGTTTGTGGAAAGTAACCCCAAGTGCATGCAGCCCCAGTACTTCTGGAAATACACCTGGCTCGCACACCACCACACCGCAGCACACCACAAGGCACAACACAACAATTTGGGATTTCTATGTTCAAGGATTGGAGCCGGAGTCGATCAACCTCCACCTAACACAACAGCCTCAGAACTGGAGTTGGGTATCTGGCATGAGAGGTCTGGGGCCCCCCCTTCCCCCTCCCAGTTAGGGGGGGAGCTGTGCAGACAGCAGCATGGCAACTGTGGTGATGTCTTGCTTGTTTTCAGATTGGGGAGTTCTACTTGCTCGTTTGGTTTTCGGTTTGCAATTTTAACCAGCTGTAATTTGTTTTGGGATTCCTAACATTCTGGGTGCCTGACCTGGTAGATGGCAGATACAGACTGCTTCTAACTACATGGAGGTGTCTATAGGCCATTGCTTCTTGGGCCTCTGAGGTTGGTTGGGTTGAACCAGGTTGGGCCAGGTTCACACTCGTGGTCCCCGGTAAGCATAGAACTCCATTGATTGACTGTTGCAGCGATCTAATATATACACATCAGCCCCATATAGCTCCGGGTCTCAGCGAAAACATGGCATTTCATTGCATTTAATGCTGGTTTTTTTCGTGGAGTCAGGGTAAACATAAACGAGGTAACTCACATCCACATAGACCCATAATATCCATATTTGCATCTTACATGTAAAACCCAGACAATAATTTTGTTTAGGTCATCTTTTGATAACTGCAGTTCCCTAGGGATCGCCAGTAAACGATAATCGCAGTCTAAGGGTTAAATTACCCGAGGATTTGCCTCTGGTGACTTATACAAGATCAATAACTACGTTTAGAGCTCAGTTTTGATTATCAGCACTTCCACCATATAATTTGTAGTGTCTAGGTGTTTAGTACAGATGAGCGTGTCTTTGATGTATAAGCTGACCCCACCCTGTAGTCTGTATTTCCTGTCACATCTAAAACGATTGTACGTTCGTATCGATATTTCACTGTCGCAGCAATGATAATAACATAGCCATAAAAGATCTATACGAGTGTAGTGTGGCTTACTCTGGCCCGTGAAAAAATCCTATCATTTGATGATTGCTTACTATGCAAATGCTTGCCGGGGATCGATTAGCGGCCATCCTTTCTTGAGTACGTCTACTCTCCTGGGCATTCCACATATCGGTCACATACTTGGTTGCACTATCTCCTCGGAGATTTAAACTATTAATATCACTCCTTAGCAATTTACCATCACCTGCAAACATTCATTTAACTGTATTGCCTCTGATAGATCATTTACATAGATAATAAATATTATCAGTGCAAAAACTGATTACTTACGGAGTATATTTTCATAAATAGAGAGAGTATATACAGAATAGAAAAATAAATAATTATTATTCTAATATACTAACTACCAGGTGCAACAATTAAGGAATTCTTGTATCAGATATGCACACGTGTGACCATGGAGTGATAGCTCTTAAAATACAAGGTAACGTAGGGTTTCAATTGTAAATTTTCTGTCAACACATGATGCAAAGAGTAACAGTCAATGAAATCAAGTCCAAGCACAGTGAAAAGCTCTGTGCCCCAGGGGGGGGGGGCACACAGTCCTTACACTATTGCTTTCCTTATTTTCATGTCGGATATAGACAAAAATACAGGTTACAACTTTGTGTCATCCTTTGCAGATGATAGAAAAATCAGCATGAAAATTACCCATGTAGAAGACTGAAAAACTACAGGCTAATATTGCTAGAACAAGGTGAAAATCTTCAAAATTTAGTTAGACAAGTTCTTGCAAGAAGTGTCAGACCAACTGGGTTGTAGTACTACACATGAGAGCCTGCGAACCATTCCAAACAACATTCTATTGGACCAAGTTATCACAGGGGAGTAGAGGAACTCTCCAAACACCCTCCAGGGATGCTCCAGGTATACAGCGGTACCTTCATTTTCGTAGTTAATCCGTTCCCAGAGATGGTACGAAAAGCGAAACAAATTTTCCCATAAGAAATAATATCCATTGAATTAATCCATTCCACACCCACAAAAGTATTAACTTAAAAATACATTTTATACAGAATAATACTCATAGGTGCCTTACCTTTATGTAGGACTCTTGTTGACGTATGGAAGACAGTGAGGAGGAGGGGGGGGGGAAGAGTGTGTTAGTGTTTAGAAGGGGACCCCCCTGTCCATTATAACAGCAGTGATGACATTTCTGGGGTACTTTCTCTCCCTCTTACACTTTGCAGGCATACCAGTAGGACCTGGTTGTGGCTCTGATTGCTTATTTTACTAAGAATCTGTCTGTAGAAACTTGTTTTTCCCTTTGTTTTAACACTTGTCTGTAGTGAGACATCACATTGTCTCACTATGAATGATCTCGTTTTTACTCTATCGTCATCCGCACAAGTATTTTCTTAGGTTGAACATTACCACTTGAACCCATGGTGTGATATATAATAAAAACTTTTATGTTCAGAAACCAAAAAAGCACAAAAACAATTAAATTCTTCATAAAGAATCCAAGCGCAAAATCATCAGTAGGCGGGTGACACTGGTAAACTGAAGCGCCACGTCCTCGGTGGACCTGTACGTGTATAAGCAAACGATGAATACCGAATCAAATTTCTCGTATAAATTTACTACGAGAACCCAGGCTTGGCTGGTGGGGAATTAATTCTGGTTCTCATGAAGGGACATATTCCCTCACAATCAATTCTGTTGAGGTTCCACTGTTATGTTGTTAATATTGTGTTATGCTTGTTCTGAACTACAACATAATTGCTTTACAAAAACTCATTTGCTTTTATTTATTCATAGCACTGTGACCGTTATTATAATATCCACGTCACAGCACAGGGTTGTAATGAACCGGGCCTCCCGCACATCATAGGGCCATGGGAGAGACTTCAGGGAACCAATCTTAAAATGTTTCCTATTGAAGATAAAAAATAGCATTTTTCCATAACCGTCTTTCACTAATATTCCCCATTTTTCTCTAGGACATTCTTTCCATACAGAAGTTAGTGAATGTTTATATGCTCTAAAAGTTTGTCTGTCTATAAAAGTAAAGCCTCGCATACCTTCATGACACTCCACATTCCTCTCAATTTTTTCCTATTCCAACATTGGCTGTGTTTGTGTGATATTGAAGAGTTGTGTAAGATGGTGCAAGGAAGTTTTATATTGCTGTTTTTGTGAGCTACATTCTCACATTACACTTGGTTGCCAAGTCTTGTATTTACCAGTTATAATTCGGTATACTCGTAGTTCTTATTATACTCCCACAACAATGCAACTTCCTTTACCTATTACAGCATGCTATGCTCTCTGCAGTCCCATATAGCCATTTGCAGAGCACTAATCATTACACTCGGTCAGTGGTGTCCCAAGATATCACTGCCCAGGGATAATACTTGTTATACTACCATAATTATTTATTTTTTCTACATTAAATACATAGAAGTGTGAAGTGTCTTGCCCCAGTGCATAATACATACTGTAATTACTACAGAACATGATCATTTGTCCCCTGGTAATTTGTTTCCTGCCAGCAGGTAGGTGGTGTAGTTTGTCCCCCTCTCTGCGAATATGTTAACAGATAAGACGAGGTGTACGGTGGGTTTTATGGAGTGTGTACCAGGCTAATGCTTGGATTGAATTGTTTGGTTTTGGAAGATGGACATTCAGAGCTGGAGGAGACTTGCCAAGTAAGCCAGAATTTATACTGAATGGCACGTGCATCCACAGAACGAATATCTTTCGACACATTTCATACACATCGTTTAGACTGACAAATCTTTGTCCTAATTTTGAATGAGTATATATTAAAATTTCTTTGTAAATTTGCTTTGTGAACAGAAAATTGGTGTAGGCTGGTCACTGACAAGAAATCCATTAATTTATTCATCAAATATTGCAAGCTTTGATATTTTCTGACATTATTAAAAATCATTGATAGAGGGATTATATATATACGATATATATACAGTACAGTATATATATTATGACAATGTCAGACCACGGAGGAAAATGAAACAGGAATTTCCTTAAGTACTTTCGTATATTAAATACATCTTCAGAAGGAATACATCTTCATTCATTCTGAAGATGTATTTAATATACAAAAGTACTTAAGGAAATTCCTGTTTCATTTTCCTCCGTGGTCTGACATTGTCACATTCTTAATCACGTGTTTATTTTCGTGATATACACACATATATATATTATATATAGAGGGTATTTATGAGTCTGCTTGAATTAGGACAGGATATTATTGGATAATGATTTGGTGGGGGGAGGGGTTGCTCGAGTCCTATGAACCGTATGAGTGTTATTGAAGACACCACCAGTTTATTGACCTAACCAGCAAATATTTATTAGCTCCGAGAAGCGGGGTATGCCTCTTGGTGTGTGTATAGCTTTGAAGGTAAAAAGATTATGAATTGGATTTGCATAATAAAATGGGATCAGTTTAATTTGGGACATATTTTTGATTGTCCTTACCGATGTTCCTTTGGGAGGGGGGGGGGATCTGACGTACTCCTTTGTAACTCTTCTATTTCCAAAAAGAAATGTAAAAGAAAGATTTCTTCTACACACTTAAACATTAAGTAAACATAAGTGACTTGGCACCCCCAAGGAAATATGCTGCCAATTTAAATAGGTGAGTAAGGCAGCAGCTTGATCGCATTTGTCATTTCAGGGGCCGGAGGTTCTACTACAGCCCTTATTAATGGCGACACATGGAGGAAATGCAGAGACAGGTGGTTGCTGATCACTACTTCCGTAATTGCTTTACTAAACGTTACTTTTTTTTGCAAAGTAAATTTTTTTAAGGTATTAATATTACACTTGACGGGTTCCCTCTTTTCTGGTATTTTGAGGTAAATCATTAGACATTTTATAGGCTATTATACGTTACAATGTATAAGAGGGGCGGGAATCAACGTAATCTGTTTCTCCATCATTTTCAGGGGCTCTTATTTGTTCTTTTCCAAGGATGCCATAAGAGCCGTGTGTGAGCGCGTGCTTGCGTGTGCATCTGTGGGTCGGGTTGGGTAGAAGTGGTGCAAGATGTGACTTGATCAGCTAGTGTTTAATAGTTAGTGATCTATACAGTATTAGTAGTGTGTGTATAACCCTCTGATAGATTTTTAATACGTTAATACTCAACATATAATTTTGTATCATTGACTGTTGTATGAGTGCAGCGGTAGGATGGGTGCTGATCGTGTCACCAGTTGGAATGGGATTAGAGTTAGTGATAAGCCTATCTAACCCTTCCTTTTCAGCTCGACAATAAAGGCAATCACAGAGTTCCCTTCTTGCTTTATGTTTTAATTTTCTTGATAATCAAGTGTCTGATAAACCCATGTAGTTTCAGTATCGGTGAGCCTTCGTTGATTTTTTGATAGCGAAGCGCTAAAAAACTGCCTTGTTTTATAAAGCTTGAAATTACATGTGGTAAGCTTAATATTTTTTAATCTCATTTTACCAAGACTTAATCTGTGATTGTCTAGCATCCCCAAAGGAGATTGCAGATAAAAAAAATGTATGCATATAAAAAAAATAGTTCTTAAAAAAATCTAAAAGATTATTCAAGGGAAAATACACAGTTTAGATAAAAAAAATGTAATATCAGAAAAGAGGAAGATTGTAAAGAAATCAATAAACAATTGTTAAAATGTTTTTTTATTTAACCTGCTTGATACCTGGTTGATGGGGTTGTGGGAGTTCTTCTACTACTCCCCCAGCCCGGCCTGAGGCCAGGCTCGACTTGTGTGAGTGTGGTCCACTAGACTTGCTTGGAGCGGCCCGCAGGCCCATATACCCACCACCGCCAGATTGGTCCGGCACTCCTTGGAGGGAACAAAGACATCTTGAAGATGTCCACGGTTGTTCGGCAATATTTCTTAAGCTCGCTGAGAGGACGTTGAACAACCGCGGACCTCTGATGTTTATATAGTGTTCTCTGATTATGCCTATGGCACCTTTGCTCTTCACTGGTTCTATTCTGCATTTTCTTCCATATCGTTCACTCCAGTATGTTGATATTTTACTGTGTAGATTTGGGACTTGACCCTCCAGTATTTTCCATGTGTGTATTATTTGGTATATCTCTTGTCTCCTTTCTAGTATTTCATATACCTTCTGATGTGGTTTAAGTAATACCACACTGTGCTAATAATGGTATGTTGAATAAAAAGTTTTTATTTTATTTATATATTCAAGAGTTCTTAGTCTTGTAAAGCTACTAACATGTATAGCATTCCGGGCAGGTCCTTGAGACTAACTTTTTCCCAGAATACGCCCCACCAAATTGGTTAGCAGCATTGTACCCATCCACTGCTGGGTGAACAGAGGCTACAATTAAGGATTGGCACCAGGATATGTCGCCACTATGTCTTGCCATAAGATCTACAACCATCACGATTAGCTGAGCGGATGATCCTGCAGGCCACTGCACTCACCATCCAGAACACATCTCACTTGAAAAGATTCAGGTGTATTCCAGCAACAGTGCCTTCCATATTGTACCCTACAGCATTCGCCCCGAATAGTCTGAATACCAAGCCACACACTTTTGCCTGCCTTAAGAAAAGAATAGCTGCTCAAAACACTACCCAAGGAGAAGTACTCTGCTAACACTGCAAGGGACAGCAGAGAGAAGCATCTATTAATACATCATGAAGGAGGAGGGAGTGTTGGTCAGGGTTGAGAGGATATAGGTAAAGTCAGCAGAGGGGGGCTGTTGAGGGGAGGGGCAGCCAAGCGAGTCCCGGATGAACAGGGACAAACAAGAGTGTGCTCTGTTTCGGGTCAGCATCAGAGGAAGGAACAAGAGGTGCCGGGAAGTCCCGTTGTAAAGTAAACTGGCTCCGCTCCCGAGACATGAGGTGGCGTTACCTACCTTGAGGTTACCTTGAGGCGCTTCCAGGGCTTAGCATCCCCGCGGCCCGGTCGTCGACCAGGCCTCCTGGTTGCCGGACTGATCAACCAGGCTATTGGACGCGGCTGCTCGCAGCCTGAAGTATGAGTCACAGCCTGGTTGATCAGGTATCCTTTGGAGGTGCTTATTCAGTTCTCTCTTGAACACTGTGAGGGGTCGGCCAGTTATGCCCCATATGTGTAGTGGAAGCGTGTTGAACAGTCTCGGGCCTCTGATGTTCTCTCTCAGAGTACCTGTTGCACCTCTGTTTTTCAACGGGGGTATGCTGCACATCCTGCCATGTCTTCTGGTCTCATGTGATGTTATTTCTGTGTGCAGGTTTGGGACCAGCCCCTCTAATATTTTCCACGTGTAAATTATTATGTACCTCTCCCGCCTGCGCTCAAGGGAGTACAGTTTTAGGCTCTTTAGTCGGTCCCAATAGTTTAGATGTTTTCCTGAGTGGATTCTAGCAGTAAAGGATCTCTGCACGCTCTCCAGGTCAGCAATTTCTCCAGCTTTGAAAGGTGCTGTCATTGTGCAGCAGTACTCCACTCTAGAGAGCACAAGCGTTTGGAAAAGTATCATCATCGGTATAGCATCTCTAGTGTGAAAAGTTCTTGTTATCCAACCTGTCATTTTTCTTGCCGTTGTGACGGCTACTTTATTGTGTTCTTTAAAGGTACGGTCTTCCGACATGAGTACACCCAGATCCTTTACATTGCCTTTTCGTTCTATGTTATGATTTGCCTGAGTTTTGTACGTGGTTTCCGTTTTTATATTTTCATTTTTTTCCATAGCGCATGAGCTGGAACTTATCTTCGTTAAACACCATATTATTTTCTGTAGCCCATAGAAAGACCTGATCTACATCTGACTGGAGGTTCGCCGTGCCCTCCATGTTGCCTACTCTCATGAAGATCCTAGTGTCATCTGCAAAGGATGATACAGTGCTATAGGTTGTGTTCTTGTCTATGTCCGATATGAGGATGAGAAAAAGTACTGGAGCAAGCACAGTACCCTGGGGGACTGAGCTCTTCACGGTTGATGGGCTGGATTTTATTTTGACTTATTACACATTGGGTTCTGTTGGTCAGGAAATTGTAGATTCATCTGCCTATTTTTCCGGTAATTCCTTTTGAACGCATTTTATGTACAATAACACCATGGTCACATTTATCAAAAGCTTTTGCGAAATTTGTGTAAATTACATCAGCGTTTTGTTTGTCTTCCATAGCATCTAACGCCATATCATAGTGGTCCAGCAACTGCGACAGGCAAGAGCGCCCTGTTCTGAAACCATGTTGTCCGGGGTTATGGAGATGCTGTGATTCCATGTATTTTGTGATCTTACTTCTTGGCACTCAAAATTTTTTATGATGTGCGATGTTAGTGCTATCGGTCTGTAATTTTTTGCCTCTGCCTTATTTCCTCCATTATGAAGTGGTGCTATCTCTGCTGTTTTTAGTATATCAGGAATAACGCCAGTATCTAGGCTTTGTCTCCAGAATGTGGAGGGCCTGCGATAGTGGTTTTTTACAGTTCTTGATGAATATGGATTGATTTGATTGTTGCCGCCGAAGGCGGCTAGTTTATTGTGCACCCCATACTCATCCTGTGAGCGGTAGCGCAAAAGCATTACAGAGGGCACAAAAGGTCTTTATCAGACCTCATCTTAGATTATTACATAAACAATTTCTTCAATCCTTCACACCTTATAGATACAATGTCAGCTAGTTACAGAGAAAGTGCTATTACAAGAGCTACATATTTACAGTAAGTCGATGAATATGGAGTTCCAAGAATCCGGGCCTGGTGCAGAGTGCATAGGCATACTGTTTATGGCTTCTTCAAAATCCAGTGGGGATAGGGTGACGTCTGATATATGATTTGGTGTCGGTATCATATCCATGAAAAGTTCATTTGGGTTATCAATCTTTAGTGTGTTTAATGGCTCACTGAAAACAGTCGTACTGCTTCCTCAGTAGCTCGCTCATTTCTTTGTTGTCATCGGTGAAAGTTCCATCTCCCTTTCGCAGGGGCCCGATACTAGATGTGGTTTTTGATCTTGATTTTGCATAGAAAAAATATTTCGGATTTCTCTCTTTTTCACTGATGGCCTTTTGCTCTCTTTGCCTCTCATGGGTTTTGTATGATTCTTGTAGCTTCCGTTCAATTGTTTCTATTTCTCTACCTAACCTTTTCTTGAGATAGGGTGCGACTCTCAAGTTCCGCGATTCGTTTTCTTCGCCTATATAGGGAACGACGTTCCCGTTCCAATCTGCATCTCTTCCTCTTTTTTTTTAGAGGTATGCGGTTTGAACATATTTCTAGTGCTACTGAGCTTATTTTTTCCAGGCACTGGTTCAGGTTTGCATTTTCTAGCTGTTCTTCCCAGTTTATTTCTGTGAAGTTCTGGTTTATTTGCTCCCAGTTTATCTGTTTATTATTGAAGTTGAATTTGCTGAAATCTCCTCCACCGGGAATCTGGACTGGTTTTGAAGGTCTACTTCCCATGGTTGTCATAACTTCAATTAAGTTGTGATCTGAGTAACAGGTATTTGTAATCATTATGTTCCTGATCAATTCATCATTATTAGTGAAAATGAGGTCCAGCGTGTTCTCCTTCCTAGTTGGTTCTACTATTTGCTGGTTTAAGGCAAACCTGTTGCACATCCACAGCAGGTCATTTGCATGTGCCTGTTCATTTTGGCTACTTCCTGGTATTCTTTCTGATAACTTCCTGGTATTCTTTCTGATATTACTGTATTAGCCAGGTGCTTCCATTTCAGGTGCCGTAGGTTGAAGTCCCCAAGCAGGATGATGTTCTGAGCTGGATTTGAGAGGTTTTCCAAGCAGTGTTCTATTTTCATTAGTTGGTCTTTAAACTGCTGAGGGTTTGCCTCCGGTGACTTATATACAAGGACAATAACTACATTTAAAATCTCTATTTTGATTATCAGCACTTCCACCATATCATTTGAGGTGTTTAGCAGCTCAGTACAGATGAGTGTGTCTTTGATGTAGAGGCTGACCCCACCCTGAAGCCGGTGTTTCCTATCACATCTGAAAAGATTGTACTCTTGAGATCCATATTTCACCATCATGGTAGTCCTTTGTGTGGGTTTCCGTTAGGGCTGCAAACACTGCATTTGCCTCATGAAGGAGACCATCTATAAAGTGAACTTTGTTGGATTTGCGTGTTTTTATACCCTGGATGTTGGCAAATATAAATGATGTTATCGTGTTAGTGGAAGTGCTGGATGCTTTACTTGGTGTTAATATCTGAGGCTCTGGTAAGGAGGCCACTGTGTTTGCGTCCAGGGTGTGTCGTTTTGGAAGTGATTCGTCCAGTTTTGGTAGTAGGACGGGTGTAGTACCTGTGTGCTTGTTGATAATTCGAATTCCAGTCTTGTGGGTATCTCCGTTCCCCTCTGTAATCCTGTAGTGGTTCCATCTGACTGTTCCTCTCTCTTATATTTACTACTCTGTTTCTGCCTTCCTCTAAAAAATGTCCAGTAGTGTCATATTGATCTTCCCGTCTATAACGCTCTGTACCTCTCACATGGAATTCCGGACACTGAAGATTGTAGCATTTTTTGTCCCTAATTAAAAATTGACATAATTTAGAGTGGAAGTACCAACAAGAATGGGGGGGGGGGAGGACTAATGCCTTCGTACCCGGCAGTGAGCAGGGAGAAGGGTTCAGGCTTACATATCTGACTCGGACATAGGAGTTGTAGCATCATGGTCTCG